AAGAGAAAGAGCTCCACTCACCAAAATATTAACCTCAAAGGCAAACACCCAGGGATCGACTTCCTCCAGCCCCACCTGACCTGCCTATAGTTACCACCCAATTAATCCACATCAGTGAATTAATCGACTCATTAGGTCATACCTCTCATAATCTCATCATTTTACCTCTTATTGTTTGATTATTTTATTGTTTCACTTGTAAGCTTTTGAAGAACACCTCATATCTCAACCATAACAGGGACTATCTGCATTTTAAAGGTAGAACTAAAAGACTGCCAATGGATTAGAGATGTGGGATGTGTGTGTGAGAGAGAAAAGTCATCAATGACTCCCAGATTTTGATCTGAGAAACTACATGAACTGTGGTACCATTTATTGGGCCAGAGATTCCTGGGGAAGAGAAGTTTTGGTGGTGGTGAGGCCCATATGGAAATCAGGCATCCAGCTTGCAGGTTAAGTTTGAGGTGTCTATTAGCCATTTAGAGATAGAAGGAAGCAGTTGAATATTGAAGTTTGGAATACAGGGGAGAGGTCAGCGTTGGAGATAAATATCTGGGTGATGCTTTTTAAAGCTGTGAGAATGAGTGAACTATCCAATTTATCATGGCCTGAATTTGTGTCCACCCCCAAATTCATATGTTGAAATCCTAACCCTCAAGGTGATGATCTAAGAAGAGGACCTTTGAGAGTGATTTAATTATAAGGAATCTACTCTCATAAATGAAATTAGAGCCCTTATATAAGAGACCCCAGAGAACTAGCCCGCCCCTTTCACCATGTGAAAACATAGCTAGAATGCATTATCTATGAGGAACAGTTGATTCTCACCACACACCAAACCTGTTGGCCCCATAATCATGGACTTCACATCCTCTGGGACTTTGAGAAACAAATATTTGTTGTTTATAAGCCACCAGTTAATAGTGTTTCCTTTCAGCAGCCTGAAAAGGCTGACATGAGAGAATGAGAGAGAGAGAGGAGATAAGGTCCAAATGCTGAGCCCTGAAACCTGCACCGTTTAGATGCTAGAAAGAAGAAGAGAACCCAGAAGTAATTGGGAAGGCACAGCCAGGGAGGTGGGAGATCAGGAGAGCGGGCTACCTTGGAAGCCAAGTGAAACCATTGTTTTAAAAGGATAAATTATGCTAAAAGCAGCTCAAGCGTCCAATAACAGGAGAACTGAGAGCTACGTGCTGGATTTGGCAGCCGGGGGACCTTGAAAGTAGCTCTACCTTGGGTTAGGAGGAACACATGATTGGAGAGCAAGAGAGAAAGAATAGTAGGTGAGATGGTGCCGATATGCTTTAAAAGAGGCACAGGGAAATGAGGAGAGGATTGTGGGGTCAAGGGATGACTTTATTTTTAAGATGAGAGAGAATACAGCGTGTTTGTGTGCTGATAAGGAAGGTGAAAGTGATGATGCAGAAGAAAGAGAAGTTAGTTCGGGAGCCATGGCCTTGAGGAAGGAAGGGGAGGGATTGGGACGAGGTGGAGGATTTGGCCTTTGATGGAGGCACTGGGCACTGCCTTCCTGGTAATAGGAGGGAGATGCCCTGTGCGGATCCAGGGAGCAAGCGGGTTGAAGGACATAGTGGTCATTTCTATTTTCTCAGTGAAAAGGCCTGCAAGGTCATCAGCTGAGAGTGAGAAGGGGATCACAGGTAGGGCGGGGGAGTGGTTGAGGAGGAAGTATTCGGTAGTCCTCCTGGAGAGTTAGAG